GAAGAGTCAAATGGCCTTTCGTAACCATAGAAACGAATTTCTCTTCCTTGCCAGGTAAAAGTTGCCGGTGTACGACGCACCGATGGATCCATCAGCTCATATAAAACAGGGTCCAATACCCTACGATCCATAGCATCAATAAGATACGCTCAAAATAATGAAGGAGAGAACAACTGACCGCATATATGATTTTAGACTGCATCGCATCCATGTTTCTCCTACTCTCCTCAAGGCAGGGTCATCTGAGCGCATAGTGTCTAAAACATTGAACAACGGCACTCTAAACTTGAAACCGGGTAATTGGGTATCCTCTAAGACATTGATCAACATCTAATACATAGCAATGAATTTGTCAAAACAACTCACCACTCAACCGCCACAACACTCCGAAGGCCTCATACGCATCATAAGTCGGGACACCATTCCGCACCGTGAGACCTTCTGCGATCAAGGCCTCGACATGTCGGTATGTCGTGGTTTCTTCCAGAGCCCAGATTAACTTGGCAGTCCGGACGTGGTAAGGGACAAACTCAGGCCTCAGGAATTTGAGAAGCTTTCAAAAAAGCTTCAGCCTACAATGTTCGATGATTCTTTATCAAGAAACCTACCACGCCCATTATCCTTGACAATACTGGCCGATTGTCAAGGTTAAGTTTGGGTTCGATGACGGCTGCTTTACTGAGAGTAATCAAGACGGACACAACGTTGTCTACAATCTCGAAAGAGGATATCTTTACAGAGGCCTGGGTGAGAAACTTTGCAAAGTGCTCGTGACAACTAGTACCCACCTGCTCCAGGCACTCGAGCATCCTATCTCGCCATTTTTTTGTATCCCATTCAACAGAAAATTGGATCTTTTGTTTGGTGGTAGTCTTGTCTAATAGATCATCCAGCAGCTTTGTGGCCCGGGATAGTGCAGTATGGTTTGTTGAAACTTTCGCATCACCAGTGTTCGATGCTGAAGCACAAGAAAAGGTGATAGAAAAGATGTCTTCTGTTATTGTTGCCACCGGCTGCGGTTTGCGTGCTTGCTTTGGGATATTCACACCAGATGTGATACCGTAAAATGAAGTAGCTAGTTCATAAGGACGCTGAGGCTGTGATCCCGGTTCTCCAAGTGGATGAAGGAGGGCAGAAGGAGCGGTATGAACCAACATGTCCTGAAGTAGCAGGATAAACTCTAAACTGGCTGATTTTTGAATTATAGAAGGATTTTCGGATATCATGACCTGCGACATGTTGGATAACGTTAGAATATTCGATTGTAAAGAGAAGAAATCAGACTCACGGCAACAAACTCTAAAAGTCCAGACAAGCAAATCGGGAGGTGTATTTTTTGCATTTCTTCATCATTCTTGAACGTGGTCACGAGGAATCGCACGAGCTTGATTGGCTGCAAGGGCATTGGCCAGAGTTGGTCTCTGTACTTGAGCAAACTTACCTGATACACCATTATTTCCGATTTTCCTGAGATTTCGTCCTGTATAGCAGAGAATAAATGCTTCCAGACTACTTTTGGCTCAGCTGCTTCATAGAGGGAACTCGCAGCAAGGTGGATCTGATACACGGATTTAGCGTCGTTGCCCTGAATAGAAGATAGTATATAAAACTCACATCCTCAGAGTCCCCTTCAATGTTCTGGAGTGTCTTCATGATAAAGGCCAGTGTATAGAGGATTAATGCATCAGTTAGCTGCGAGCCAATCTCCCACTTATCCAATAGCGAAAGGAAGATCTTGAGTGGCTTCGCATCTGGTGCCAATGTCGGGCTATCCATTTCTCTCTATGGTCTAACTTTCAGTCATCCTACCTCTATAGCGAAAAGTGAGTCAGAATCCATACCTTAAGCGTCATACAAAGTAAATCTAGCCCATTCTTACGAAGATAAGCAATTTGTGCGTCACTGCTCTCCTCAGTTCCTAGTAGCCATGTATACAGCCGTCGATTGAGAGCCGAATCTCTCCTGAGAACAACGCTGGTGGCTGCCGCCATCAAGATAACTCTATCATCCTTCTGCGACTTGTGCATAACGGGTCCATCTAGACGAAGAGATTGCAAGAGGAGATCGAGGGTGGCCCGGCGTACAAGTAAATTGTCATCTTCGAGGGTTGCTGAGAAAGCGCGAATCATTAAACCCACGTCTCCGCCTATTATTGCTGCGATATCTACAAAGAAGGTCAGGAGATCAGTTTTGTTCTATAGTCGTATGCCTTGTATGATTCGAGAGCAGCAAGAGGAATTTCTTACCTTCGTCACCCGATAATTTTGGCAATCGTCTTGCCAAGTAATTGAGGGCCGGTGCACGCGCAGATTGCGTAGTGAGCATAGCAAGCCATAGGTTCTGTAAGAAGAACGACTGTGTAACGCTGGTACAAAGGCGATCCATTAGGTGGAGAACCTAGCCGTTCCGAGGTGTCTAACGTCTCATTGATAGGCTCTCAAATGAGTTTATAGAACAATACATACCTGGTCAAAGAATTCTCCATTTTCCTCTTCCAATCCAGGTAATAGAGCAAGCATGAATGCCTTTGTGATGGGTCGCAAAGCTTGTTGAAGAGCGAGATAGTGTGTGTCATACAAGTTCAAAAGGGTGGGCTAGTGAATGAATTAGACTCAATGATTGTAAAGATGAAGCATTTGCATACCTTGACTCCTGTAGCCGCATATTCAAAGAAAGGGAAGAGTCCACTTGACCAAAGATGGA